GTTAGATATAAAAGCGTGTTTCTTTGTTTTTTTTAAACTATTATTTATTTTAGCATAAGTATAGAATGAAGAACTATCATTTTGCCCAAATACGATTAGTTTTTATCTACCATACATTACAAAGATTACACTGATCAACAGCCAAAAAATATCCTAAATAAAATCAACAAAATATTACTATTTTTAATGTGCTAAAACCGGAATGAAAAAAAAAATTATATGTGTTCCTGCTGTGACAGTGTTAATATACTGTAATTCACAAGAATGCAAGTGCTACATTTTTATATTCGGCACGGAAAGATGCTGTAATCGGCATGATTGTGTTACGTTATACATACGTGTACATTATATTGTTTTATATTAGCCATTTTTTCCTCAGTTGGCTGACAGCGTTCATGCAAGATGTCTCGAAAGTGTGTAAACAATCCAGATCAGTTTTGTTACGTGTGTGGTGATGTGACTTTTGCGTCTCAGAGACGGTCTATTACTCCACTAATAACAAAGGCATATCAGCTTTATTTCGGTTGTAAACTAGGTGATCAAGACAAACAGTGGGCACCCCACATCTGCTGTAATACATGTGCTTCAAATCTGAGGAGCTGGTTAAATGGCAAAAAACGGTCTATGCGCGTTGCTGACCCAATGGTTTGGAGAGAGCCTACAAATCATATTAATGATTGTTACTTTTGCATGGTACCTTGTGTTGGACAAGCCACAGGTATGTCCAAGAAAAAAAAATCGGTTATTAACTACCCAAACATACCATCTGCGATGAGACCTGTGCCTCACAGTGACGAAAATCCTATTCCAAAACCCCCAGAATCCTACACTTGCGAATCAGAAAACGAATCAGATCATGGCGATCGAGTGATTCGTCAGGAAGAAGATATGCCATCAACGTCAAGAGATCCTGATTTTATACCGAGCACGTCATGCCACCAACCGCACAAAATAACACAGTCAGAATTAAATGATCTTGTAAGAGATTTAGAACTTCCAAAATGTAAGGCAGAGTTACTTGGATCAAGACTGCAGCAGTGGAACTTGTTAGAAGACGATGTTTCGGTATGTGTTTTTCGTAGACGCCACAAAGACTTAGAACCATTTTTCAATATGGAGAATAACTTGGTTTTCTGCAGTAACATTAACGGCTTACTGGCGGCTTTAAATATAAACTATAACCCAGAAGAATGGAGATTGTTTATAGACAGTTCAAAATTGAGTTTAAAGGCAGTGTTATTGCATATTGGAAATATTTTACCATCTGTTCCTGTAGGGTATGCAGTTCACATGAAAGAATCATATGACAATATGAAGTACTTATTGACATGCATAAAATACGATGAGCACCAATGGCATATTTGTGGCGATTTGAAAGTTGTTGCACTTTTACTTGGGCTGCAGCTAGGCTACACAAAGTTTTGCTGTTTTTTGTGTGAATGGGACAGTCGGGCAAAGGCACTTCATTACACCAGACAAAACTGGCCTGTTCGTCAATTCCTAGAGCCAGGTCAAAAAAATGCACAGCATATGCCATTAGTAGTTTCGAAAAAAAAATTTTTACCACCACTGCATATCAAGTTGGGCCTAATGAAAAACTTTGTCAAGGCATTAGATAGAGATGGGTCAGCTTTTCAATACCTGCGTCAGAAATTTCCAAGACTAAGTGAAGCAAAGGTTAAAGAAGGTATTTTTGTTGGGCCACAGATTCGAAATATTTTGAAAGATACACAGTTTGAAAACACTTTAATAGGTATTGAAAAAACTGCTTGGAATGATTTCCGTCTGGTGGTCACTAATTTCTTGGGAAATAGAAAAGCTGACAACTATAAAACCCTTATCAAAAATATGCTGTCATCGTATCAAAAGATGGGCTGTAATATGTCTCTTAAGATACATTTCCTACACTCACACCTGGACTTTTTTCCTGAAAATTGCGGTGCCGTAAGTGATGAGCACGGCGAACGTTTTCATCAGGATATTTCAACAATGGAAAAAAGGTACCAGGGAAAGTGGAATCCTTCCATGCTTGCAGACTACTGTTGGACTCTTGGTAGAGATGCTCCAGAAACGATCCATAAAAGAACAGCAAAAAGACAGCGCATATAGTGATTCTTATAAGTATATGAATCTTGTTACTTTTTTTAATATATCCTTAAAAATAAAAAGTTTTTTTTCTAACCGCAACTAATTTTTTTATTTCATTGTCATTTTTGGATTCAGCGCCCCAAAATTAACAAAGAAGTGCACTTTTCCCACAAGATACAATTAAAAAACTAAAATTTGTTGTCCAGTGTTATCTATCATAAAAGCGTCCATTTGCGCAAAATCATCTGAAAACTGTTTTCAACAACAACAAATGAGCAAACCTCAAAGTGACAGGCTGACAGCCAATGACAGAACAAAGGCCAGTCATTGTAAACCATTCTGATCAATCAAAAAAGGGTCTGCTGGTCAGATTAGTTGAGAATAAGGTTGAAGGTGTCATTCTATAGCGATATAGACCGACGATAAATAAATACAGTTAACCAATATTTGAATCACATGCATGTTTCCTATAGAAAAACAACATACCGCATACCAAAAGTGGGCCTCCCTTCGATTTCGCTTAAAAAATTGTTCCGACACCATGGCATAATAAACACTAAACATGCCATAACCGGTTTCGAACTTTTGTATTGAAAATGGGCGTAATGTACTCTGTTTATTTTGAGTGTTACGACAACGTGCCATGATCTACCATAACCGGTCATTTGACCAGCTATAGAGTGTTAACTCAATTTTCTTAGAAATAATAGACAATAGCTATGAATATTGCTCCAAAATAATTAAAACGAGTTTTTAAAAAGATTCATTTTTGTCACAAGCAAGAGTAAACAAGTCTACCTAAACCTGTTCAATTCTTTTTTGTTCATATTGGCATCATTCCTCAATAAAGCTATAACACTTAACGTTTTGGTGTTCAGTTTTTTTGCAAATCAGTATACATTGAGAGCCTCACTCTTTTCGTTTTAGATCCTTTTTAAGACGAATACCTAAACGCCTTTCTTGTTTCTTGAATAAGGAAGAAAATCAACAATTACCCACCTTTCATCCGATCAAAAGCACACATTCTGTTTTTGCAAACCCCTCTGAAAGCCAGGTTGGCCAGGTACCCAAAAGATTTTTACACTACATTAAATTCATTGGTGCTTTTTTGCGTGGATCTCCCACATACACGCGGTCCAACTATATTATATAAAATAATCCCTCCCTGTTTGGTAATGCGTCTATTCAATTCCTTAAACTGGAACAGGTATTTGGGATTTTGGAATTTTTGTGAATTTGACGCAATCCCGACGCATTCTGCAGGTTATACAGAAATCTTCGTGTGAACTTCAGATGTTTTCACCTGCTTGTCAAAAATTTCATAACAATCGTGTTTTGATATCATGAAGTTTCCTTCACTCATTCTTAGCATGTTTTTGGTGGATTTTATTGTGTTTGGTCTTCAATGCAGCTCAAAAGGTTTGCAAAATTTCTATAAGCTGCTAACTATCAACTGCTATTTCCGCAGACAGTTCAACACGATATGTTACATGACAACTGAGGGCTAGTAATGAATCCTGATAACAGTGGTTGTAAATGATTCAAGAATAAGGTATTACAACATATGTAACCTGCGTTTAACACCACTACTGAAAAAACTTGTGAACATATTTAGGCCAGAATTTGGACCATGTCCTTTATAGACGTATGTACGTAAATTTTGTAACGAGAATCAAGTAAAATGATGTTCTTTGCTTTTCGCATATCGCACACACCACGGGGCTGATTCTAAATGAATTTCGACCATTGAAATTGATTTCTATAGCACCTTGTGACAATGTACTTGATTCGCTATGATAGTCTTGACAGTACCATGATAATTTGAATATAGAAGATCGATATAAGCAGATATCAAATTTATTATAGCGAGTCAAATATATCATCACAATGAATTTCAACGGTCGAAACTCATTTATAATCAGGCCCCGTGGTAATGACCTTCATTCCCGGCCAATGTAAGGCAATAGATATTATCATTTGTTTTGCGTGCAAGCGATGGTTTTATATCGCGGAGAAGGCCCTCAAATTTGTGTCTGCTTAGACCATTGTTTCCCAAAGTGGTCTATATCGACCCCTAGGGCTCTATGACAACCTGCAAGGGGTCTACGTCAGCGAAAAAAAATTTGGGGGTCCATGAAATGAATATGGAGGTCCACGATAGTGGATCTCAACACATACACTGATAGTACCTATTTACTTACATCATACTATCTTATAATATCAAAACATATACATTATTTATAAAAGTACCTATGAAGTAAAAAATTAATTATATATGTTTATAAAATTGTGTAAGTTGTAGGATGTTGGTCGCAATACATTTTGAACTTGTAAAAACCTGAGAGTCGCAGTCTCAGAGCTTCGCTACCTTGCACTGACTTGTTCAATTCGTCACTCTATAAATACGAATATGGGACAAATACGTATATTCGTTTCCTGAATCTTGAAAAGGAAAGTGCTAAGAAAATATTTTAAAAAATATAAACAGATAGTATATCACATAAATTATAGTGAGTCAGTGTTATTTTGTTTGAGAGTGCTGGAGAAAAGTAAGTATATTATTTTTTATTAAATTTTAGTTTTGTACTCGTAGTTAGCAAAGATAGATAAATTACGCCAATCATGACTTTAGTTATTAGTAGTTAAATATTCAATCATGTAAAATTACAAGAGTACTCCTCAATAGTTTCTTTTTGAAAGTTTTAGCAATCGGTAATATAATTACAGTGCAATCTCCGTATCAAAAAATATTTTTAATATACAGCTGCTGGATTTTCTGTTTTATTTAAATAATTTAATTTCGCTCACAGACGACTGATGCCTTGTCCGAATCTAAAAAGAAATGTAGACAGTACAGTGTTGATTATTTGAAATTTGACTTCATTCCATCATTGCCGGACAAACAATCGCCTATGTGCCTTTTATGCAACAAAGTTTTGGGCAATGACGCTATGAAACCATCTAAACTGCAAAATCATCTGAGAAGATGCCACCCTGATAAAACAGAGAAAGATTTGAAATACTTTCAAACACTCAAAGATAAATTTCAGAAGAGACCTACACTGGACAGAATGTTCGCTTCGACGTCACAAAGAAATGATGATGGTTTGCGGGCGTCTTACAATATCTCGTTACTTATAGCAAAATCCGGAAAACCGCATACTATCGGAGAGAAGTTAATTTTGCCAGCCGTTGAAGAGGTTTCAAAAACTGTTTTACACAAACCTGCATCTGATATCATTAAAAGAATTCCCTTAAGCAACAATACTGTTGAAAGACATATTGATGAAATGAGTTCTGATATTGAAAGCTTCTTATGTAATTATTTGCAAACGATCCATTTCTCTATACAACTGGACGAGTCAACTTTACCTGATAATGCAGCATTATTATTGGCATATGTTCGTTTTATTATGAATCAAGAAATCTACGAAGAACTGCTCTTTGATAACCTACACTAAAGGTGAATCAATATTTCATGTTTTGAAGGATTACTTCATTGAAAAAGCAATTCCTTTATCAAATATAATATCAGTAGCTACATATGGTGCACCTGTCATGGTTGGACGTTATCGTGGATTTATAAGCTATTTAAAACAAAATGTGTCAGGGGTGTTAGCAATACATTGCGTCATCCATCGACAACACTTAGTTGCTAAAAATTTGAGTGTTAAATTGCATGAATCACTTCATTTAGTCATTGATGCAGTAAACCGAATCCGAAGCAACGCGTTGAATACGCGGTTATTTGCGCAGTTGTGTGAAGAAAATGACGAACACTCATCAATTACTCCTTCACACTGAAGTACGCTGGCTGTCGAAAGGCTTATGTTTGACAAGATTTTTTGCACTTTTTGAGACTATTTTAGAATTTCTGGATACTAAAGATAAAATTTTAAGAGAAAATTTAATGAAGAGGAAAACAGACATTGCCTATTTAACAGATTTGTTTACAAAATTTAATATGGTTAATTTGCAATTACAAGGCGACAGTTTAAATTTGATTAAAACAAAGTCCATCTTATCAGCGTTTCTTGACAGAGTTAAACTAATGACGCAAAATATTGGACGGGCGAATTTTCTCAGTTCGCCAATTTGTCACAGACAAGCTGCCAGGAAGACGACGTTTCAACTTACGTTCAACATTTAAATGCCCTCTATTCAGATTTTGAATCTAGGTTTGAGGATATTTTGAATATGGTAATACCACCGTGGATAATTAATCCATATGGTGACATAGAAGAAACGAATGTCATAATACAAGAGGAACTGACTGAACTAAGTACAAACGAAGAACTTAAGGTTCAGTGTAAAAACGGATATCAGCAATTCTGGCTGCAAAACAACATACCCGTTACTTATCCCGTATTACGGAATATAGCGAGGAAATTTTTAATTTCCTTTCCATCGTCATACCTAGTGGAAAGGGAGTCCAGCGCTGTTACCAATCTCTGGGAGTAAGTGCCCGCATTAATTTTTTTAAAGAACCCCCCTTTATAGAAAATATTTTTTTTTTAAAATAATTCTGAAAATTCAAGGATAGGTACACACTAAAATTCGTTGATTTTTTGCCTATTTTTAGATAACTTAAACGTATAAGAAGCGGAGTTTAATCAAACTAACAGTGAAATTATTGTAGAACATACGTTTATGTTATAATTAATAAACGAACTCGCTTATTGTACTATTTTAAGTAAAAAACTTTTTTTTTTATTATTTTTCACTTTTTTTTATTTTATCCCTCTTATTTTTTTTCAATGCGGGCACTTATTCCCAATGCGGGCACTTATTGGTCAGACACCTGTTTATTTAATGTTACGTATATTTTACATAACAGATACAAAATTTTATTTTGAGTAGTTTTAATTTAAATTCAATTAATAAATGTATAAATTAACATGTGTTTTTACTTTAAGTTTTTAACACTAAACTTCACTACAGTTAGAAATTTACAGGAAATCAATATCAGGTAAGTAGGGGGTCTACCCAACACGGCAAGGTGTCTACGACACAAAAAAAAGTCGATATATTTACACTGCATTGTTTGTCGCCAAAATTGTGTAATTTTAGCAAATAATTTTCACTAATTTGCGTAGTACTGTGTAGCAAAGTGACAAATCAATACCTCGGCTACATTCTTATCTCTGGGAAGGATATTCAAGTAGATATTCGTACTGGTTGTACAGCAAGGCAGAAATACCATATGGGTTACGGTGTGAATCGCTAAGTTATTGTTAATAAACAGGAATATATTAAATAAGGTCGAGAATAGAATCTAAATATTTATTAACGGTACAGTATTATGAACAATTCTACTTATTTCGTTATTTTGGAAAAAGAATAATACGAAACATTCTCTCCATAAAACAGCAGTAATGGTGGATAGCTGATATTGGAAATAGTAAGACGCCTTGCATGAATTTTGCTCGGTTTTTCTAAATAGTTGTCGTAATGTTAAATGTCAACAACTGTCAATCTGACAGCTTGATCGAGTTGTAGCATGTACATGTATCCTGGCTACTGATTACGTAGATTTCGTTAGAAACAAATGGTATAGAATTGTAGTCACCGTTCTTGGCGGTTACGTCATTAACGCCATATGAAATAAGTAAACAGATCGAGTCTCCGTACCTTGGGCAGATCTTCACACCTGTTACTCTTGCCACTACGCATGAAGTGGGTACCAGGGGACCCGTGTTTTTATTCTCTTCCTGTAAATACTCTAATAAATTTAGCACGAGCTGTCGGCCTTCTCCATTGATCATATTTCCGTGCATTGCACAATTTTATAGTGAAGATTGATAACTGGTCAACTCAAATTGCACGCCGATGTCAAGTAAGTTGTCACTCTGACAAATATGAAGCAAGAGCACTAATACGTAACGACAAAGTTTTCGAGTCGGAGACACACAACTAAAAAACTTGTCCTTGAGCTTACCAAACAAACGTTCACACACATGGGTAGGTTGCATGTGTATGTATGAACTAGATGGAGATATATCGATGCCAGTAACACGAAGTGGCATATCTCAGAAGATACGAAAATTGAGTTGAGTCGATTTTGTTACTTAAAAAGGTTGGCTCTTCAATACCATGAAGTGGCATAAGTGAGTTTATAATACTTTCAGAGTTATAGAAAAATAATATTAGACTTATCTCATTTTAATAGGAAATTTATAGAAAAATAATATTAGACATATCTCATTTTAATAGGAAATTAAATTTCACGAGGGAGCTTAACTCTTAAGTTACGCGAATTGGTCAAATTATAAAATATACATATTATTTTACATCGTGTGGCTTATCTAAGTTACATCAGCTCGTAAAATTGTAGTTTTTATCACTATACGCACTGTGACGAATCTACCTTTTTAGCTTCACCTTAAGCACGAATACAGATTTTTCAGATTAGAAAGACAAAAACTTACGTTAATAGATATTCCCCTCAAAATTCTGATTGCAGATCCAAGAAAAATTACTACGAAAAAATTCATGGATTTGAAGTCGCTGTGTGAAGGAGATATACCGTTAGTTCGTTTACAAGAATATCAAAGACTCTATTTAAATCTTCCTCATGAATATTAGATAAAATACTAATAATTACTTTGTGCATCTTTAACAGATATCATTATTATTTGAGTGAGTCTTTTGCTTGTGCTGACATATTTAACTTTTATAGGGCGTTACATAGTTTTAGATACTGCGTATACTTACTTCGCCATAATATTCACGGTTCCCCATTTTATAAGAATTTTGACTTGTAATAAAACATTTTTTTAAATTCCATGTGTTTTTTTTTATCACTTAAATATAACACCGCCGTAACTAAGTCTTTATTCTATGAATTACGACTCTTCAGTTTCACAAAATGACGTATCTACTTTTTTTTAAATTACACACATAAAATGAAAAATGGGTTAATCGTTTCTCATTTTTGAATAGCTTGTAAACGTGAACAGATATACCCACAAATTCAAATAAGGTAGCAATAATACCTTTTTGTCAGCATCAGCTCAAATCTTGTGAAAATATTTAAAACGCTCTCTCCTGTGAAAAAATGAGAAACGCCACACACGTGTTATGGACGACGATATAAAAGGATACTGGTAGTCTTACTTTGACCCGCCAAGAACGGTGACTGCAACTATACTTGCTCCTTCCTGATTCAAATTTGTTGGCCCAGACGGAAGCACTCCATAAACTCAAGGTCACTCAGAGAGATCATATATCGTATTTTTATTTTCACTATCAGAGTCACTACCACATACGGATCACCGGTTATGGTATCTCTAAGAGCGAAGTTGTTATTGTATTATGTCATTACCAACCCTTACCCAAAAATATAAGTAAAACTACGGTTGTAGAAACTTATTCAACACAATCCTACAAGTGTGGACGTTGTGTTACAGAATACTCCAACACTTTTATTCGTATTTCTTCCTTCGGAATAGTTAGAAGTGCAGAGCGAATGTTCTTACAGGGCTCTTGTTTACGTATTTTAAGAATTACGCGATATTGTTCTAACCTTTGCAGTACCTGTTTTTTCTACTAACCTTTAATTAATGGATTAAAATCTTACTTGATATGATATGTATGTACGAGCCCCTTCCCACTTCAGTTGGCCCAACTATTGAAATCTTAGTTTTTTCTTATCAAACACAAATAATAAAAATGTAGCAGGGTGTTATAGGTTTAAAATATTAACAATGAATATTTTGATAATATATAGTAGAAAACACCAAGTTTATCATTCCCTAATCAAATTTGCAGCATAAATATAACACATGTTGCAATTACAGCATATCAACCTATTTTCATTTCAATGCAAAATAAGTCAATGTTGTTTTTATTAATCACAGCTGTCAGAATACGTTTAAAATAGTTTTGGGTAGTTAAGGTTTTCAAAATGGGTAGAGGAAAGGTTATTAGTGAGAAAATTTGGTTACTGATAATTAACTTTTTTAATTCTGGGAAATCAAACTCAGGAATTGCAACTTTGTTAGACTTATCGCGCGACAGTGTGAGAAATATTGTTAGAAGATATAACGTAACTGGTTCAGTTAATATTAAGCCACGATATGTGAAAAAAAGTAATATCACAAATGCCGACCGAAGAGCATTAAGAATGATAATCGTGAAAAACAGGCGTGCCAATTATTTATTTACAATTAAGTGCTCTGTGGAGTGACGCTGTTGAAGGAGAATTTCGAGGTCCACAATTCATAGAGAGGCCCACAAACTGGGATTTAGCACTTGCAAGGTAAGTTTTCTTATAAAAAAAGTGAAGTAAAGACCCTAAAATTTCACAACTTGTTTATAGGCCAAAAAAAAGCCACTATTAACTCCACTGCAAAGAAAAATAGGGTTAGATGGGCTAAAGAACATAGACAATAGACACCTCAACAATGGTGTGCAATACAATGGAGTGATGAGGCCCGATTCAAAGTTTGTGTTTGTGACA